TACTTGGGAGACTGAGGCAGGAGAATCACTTGAACCTGAAGGTAGAGGTTGCAGTGAGCTGAGATTGTGCCACTGCGCTCCAACCTGGGCGATAGAGATTCTGTCTCCAAAAAAAAAAAAAAAAGCAAGCTTTGTTGTTCTTTGTTGTTTTAATGTAGGAGACCAAGTTTTTAAGTTTTGTATCAGTGTATTTTAACATCAAAGTTTATTATTTAGAAAGACTGTCACAAATAATTTATTTTAATTATAACCAGCTTAATCACACCCCAGATTTCCTTCATAAGTTCCCATTCATGAACTTTATCATGATTTACTCAGATCATCTATGGATTACTGAGGCACTTTGCCTCACTTTATACTTCCTCTTCTTAAGTAACTGGTCATGTCACTCTAGGAAAAAGATTTATCATGCGAGACTTTCTCTTATCTTTACATCTGTAATTTCCTTTCTCTCTCTCTCTCCCTCCCTCCCTCCCTTCCTCTCTCCCTCTCTCCCTCTCTCCCTCCTTCTCCTATTTACATCTTTTTTATCTTGTGTCTATTTCCTTCCTAAATACATTTTGATACTCCCTTTAAATAACAATCAAATTAGAATAAAAATTTTTTTCTCAATAAGACTTTTTTTCTCTTATAACTTTTTTCTCTTATTAAGCACACCTTACTTTGTCATACTTTATATACAGAATTATATATCAATTGGAATTTTTAGCTTCTAGTAACCTTAAATTTTATTAAAAACATGGGAAGCACAAAATCTTAAATTGCCTGTTACATATTATTATTTAATAGATAATAACCATTCTATTTTTATTATTTCAATTTTTTATTTTTTTTATTTTAGAGACAGGGTCTTGCTCTTTTGCCCAGGCTAGAGTGCAGTGGCATGATCATGGCCCAGTGCAGCCTCAAACTCTTGGGCTCAAGTGATCCTTTCACCTTGGCCTTCCAAGTAGCTGAAACACCAAGTGCATGTCATCATACCTGGCTAATTATTTTATTTTTTGTAGAGATGGAGTCTTGCCTTATTACCCAGGGTGGTCTCAAACTCCTGGCCTCAAGCAATACTTCCACCTTAGCTTACCAAATTGCTGAAATTATAAGTGTGAGCCACCATGCTTGGCCAAGGACCATTTTATAATTGTCAGAAAAAAGGAATTTCCCTATAACATTTTTATGGATATTTAGTCTTTCTGTTAGTCCTTCTAGTCTTTCTATTAAATTTAAGAAGCCAAAGACAACCCTATTTATGTTCAGTAATTTGTTTCAGTTTTTATCATATTTGAAAATGACTTCTACATTTAACGAGTATCTGTAATTTAGAATTTCAAATTACATAAAAAATTATTTCTAGCTATTTATTCCATTTACCTTTATTCATGTATTTGTGCAGTGTGCTGAGATTACTTACAAAAACTGAGATATTAGACAAAGCTAGGCATCATTCCAAATTATTTATCTATTAATTATTTTATATAACTGCATGTCAGGCAAATATAAAAGTAATGACCTTAAAGTCAAATAATTCAGAGGACACAAAATAATTCAGAGAACACAAACTGTCAATCTTAGACTAGTCCCATTTGCCAAAAGATTTCTAAGTCACATGAACTTGAAAAATGCCTGGTCTTACTTGCTTAATTTATGAGTACTCCTCTATTTATAAGCCAATTATGTACCATAGATAAATACAACCAGACTTGTACATGAAAGCAGCTACAAATAATGATAATGTAGCTTTAATTTTTAAAGCTTTAGCTATATGTCAGCCATAACTAACTAGTTAAAAGGGACAGTTAGAGTCAAACTTCGTCTCTGTCAAACTAACAATTTTAGCTTAAGTTTATCTGTTCCACATGGCTGAAACCCCTTACTGAATTTTAAAGAAACCAGAGTAGCAAAGTAGTGGGGCAGAGCAGCAGGAAGAGAGGAGCTAGTGGAAGAAGGCTAGCTCTATTGTCAATTAGAAAGCCCATAAGTCTCTTTTCTACATTAGTTATTACTCAGGGTTCTTAGATCATAGAAGATCCCCAGTCCCATTATTTTTAATCACTATCAGAAGACTGTGGTATCTAGTGGGCTGACTGATGGACAGCTTCTTCCTCCACCTGCCTGGGATGGTTAGGGCACTCCCATTTCCAATAGTTCTCTTGTTTACAATATGCACATCATGGCTTCAAGAGTGCACAGCCATTTTGGCTAGCAGTGTGGTCCCAGTGGTGGTCTTACCCATGGCCATTTTTTTTTTTTTTTTTGGCTACCATGCACCATCTTGCATCTTGGTTGGTTGTAGCCAACAGCCACAGCAAGCAACATTGCTTGCTGTCTTAGGTCACATAGCTTTTGCCCTTTTTAGACTTGAACAAGACGATTAAATGCCTTAAAGGCAATCTCGACCGCTTGAGATATTGATATTCCCAGTGCTTTTTCTACTTTTTGTGGGTTTCCTCTTATACCAGGGATGCTGTGACTGATAAAACTCTCAGGTTACCTGGGTGTTCAGGGTCAGTGTCAGTGTATTGCCTGAAGGCTTTAAAGACCTCAAGAAAGGAAGACGCATTTTCTTTGGCCACTGTTGTACCATTATGGCTTGTGCTGCTGGAGTCCTGCTACAATTAACATTCCCCATTTTGCTTGGAGGTTTATCTCAGATGTCTAGAGCAAGGCCCTGCTCTAGAGAGAGAGATATATATCGTAGGTCTGCAATGTGGTGCTTATGGAGATTCCTTCCCAGTGAATCACCAATGGATTGGGTATCTCCTAGTCACCTAGGAGTACCCAAAAGGGCTGGAGGGAGCAATGTTGTCCCTCAATTAAATAATTTTCTAATTAGGCTGTTTCTGTGCCATCAAAGTACTAACTGCTGCTTAAGCCAGATATTACTATGCATATCTGAATACAAATATGCAAACAGAAACAGAATCAGCCAATTAAACAAGACAAAGCACAGCATTTTGGACTCTGAGTTTGATCCCCTCAATGAGAGCAAAAAGACAAGGCTCAAACTTGTCTCTGTAAGCTTCAGACACCTTTAATCCATTCTAGATGGGGAAGATTGACCTCCAGCTGATAATCAAGCAAATATTTGCTCAGTCTAGTTGATTGGAATAGAGAGCAACCCTGAATCAGGCCTCCTTTGCTGCCACTGGCAGCTTGTTCAGGGTTTGCTAAGTAGTTTTAACAACATTAAACAAGTGACTAGATAAACCCTAAACTTTACATGTACACATATACACATCCAAGTTCCAAGTTCCCAGTCAAGTTCCTAGTCAAATTTATAATGAAGAGTGCCACGTGAGCATACCTCCTTATTCTCCTTTCAATAGAAGTTGAAATCCCTAACTTAGGCCCCCTTGTGGAGGTTAACAAGTCTCCCTAGTGGCAGTTGGTAAGAAAGGAGCCGAGAGTTGGTCACTTGCACAGAGATTAATTCACCAAAAAATAAAAATAAGAGGAAAAAAATATGTTCCAAAATACAAAACTTTTCTTTGCTGCAAAAATGAAAATCAAAGCACCGAAAGTCAGCAGGGCCATGCTGGGGAGACAGGAACCAAGAGCAAATCACCAAGTAAAACACCTGGACAGCTGCTCAGACCCTCAAGTGGAGCTCATCCCTGAAACAGAGCTAGTGAGCCACAGGCCCTGAAAAGATTTATAGACGTCCCATCTGGTTCACCAACTTTGTTATTGAACTAAACTGGGTCTCTTTGCTCATGCACAATGGAAAGCCAAACACTGAAGCACCAGGTTTTTGCAGCAAGAAAGGTTTATTGTGAGTGAACTGGCATAGAGACAGATCTCAAATCTGTCTCCCCAAGCTGGGGATTAGGGAAGGTTTTATATTCAGAGGGTAATGAGGAGACATGATCTGATTGGCTCTTGCCATTGGATGATGCTAGGAGGTGTACTCTGACTGGATTTTTCCCTGGGGTGATACCAGGGCTCTATCTGATTGGATCCTGGAGTCTAGCATGCAATGTATGCTTCCTAATTTTAGTACCTATTCCTTGTTCTGGGCACTGAGTTTCTACCTGTGGTTGCATGCTTGGTTTATCTGGGCATATTCAGGTTATGTGGCCTTCAACCTGGGTGTCCATGGCAACTGAAGAGCTTTGTTATTTAAAAGTTGAACTGGATTGATCTGATGTGGTTAAATGACCTATAAATATATTTCAAATTATATTGAATTGAAAGTAAACTTTTAATTATAAGCAGTGTTATTCTTATACAGATGTGAATATATGTCATATCCCGGAGAAGCAGAAATACTATTCCCTCAATACATTTCCTTGTAGGCATAATATCAGATCTAAAATACAAAGGTATGGAAGAATAAGATAAATGTTTGTGAGATCAGGTGACAGATTCACTGTCTTCACATAATCCAATATTATCACCACTCCATAATTATTGAGATATACTTAACTCTATACTATGCTACTTTTAATATTTTCTTGTTCTTTTTAGTGATCTTAATGTTAAATTTGAGAAACAGCATATATATATATATATATATATATATTTTTTTTTTTTTTTTTTTTTTTTTTTTTGAGACGGAGTTTCACTCTTGTTACCCAGGCTGGAGTGCAATGGCACGATCTCGGCTCACCACAACCTCCGCCTCCTGGGTTCAGGCAATTCTCCTGCCTCAGCCTCCTGAGTAGCTGGGATTATAGGCACGCACCACCATGCCCAGCTAATTTTTTTTGTATTTTTTAGTAGAGACGGGGTTTCACCATGTTGACCAGGATGGTCTCGATCCCTTGACCTTGTGATCCACCTGCCTCGGCCTCACAAAGTGCTGGGATTACAGGCTTGAGCCACCGCGCCCGGCGAGAAACAGCATATTTTTAAGTGCTCTTTGTTACATCTTACTTTGGCTCACAGTTTGATCTTCTCACATAGTTTAAATAATATTTGTATAGAGATAAAAGAAATGTAATTTTGTTGATTTTATAAAATATTCAATATGAAAACTTTTCATTTTTTATTTTTACTTGTAGAATTCCAAGAACCCTATGCTGTGGTAGTACTTCTGGAGAAAGATCTTATTGTAGTTGATCTGACACAAAGCAAGTAAGTTATCCATATACAGATTAACACTTTTAAACCCTATTTATTTTACATAATTGGCCTTTGTATTCTTTAGATAGGAAATATTCTATGTGTGAATATTGGTTTGCTAGAATTACAGAAATACACTTTGATTTAATGGCGAAAATGAAACCAGGGGAATTTGGGAAACACTGAGAAAACTGTAAGACAACTTAAAGGCATCAGCACCTGATGTTTGGACAGAAGCACTGGAGACTCAGGACACATAAAATTGATCACATTTCTGTTGTTTCCTTAAAGAAAAGCTATCATTATGAAAACTTGTACAGTGTGATAGCTGAGTAACGGAAAATGACACATGATAAAAGTATTATTGCACTATTGCAGCAAACAACACAGAAGACCAGGATCCTGTCAGGGGAAGCGAAGACAGGGGACTTCTTTTACATTTTTTTTTTCATTATGTTACAGGCAATTGAAACAAGTGTAGAATACTGCTATTATAGTGGTGGTCTCACTCCTTTACATTGCCAGTAAAAATTTGCCAACTATACATTTTTATTATAATGGTAATAGCATGAAACTGATTTCCATCATTATATGTTCTTCACCTACTGATCTTTTAGCCTCTTATATTTATGACACAATTTTTTAAGTTGTCTCTCCTCTGCCTGGAATAACTTTCCCTTCATTTTTTTCTCCTTATTAACATCTTATCTGTAATATTCTCAAGCCAAGTATCACTTTCTTATTTAACAAAATATTTCATTAACTATGTAATTTGGTCACATATCCTAGTGTGGACTCTCAGAGTCCCCACATTTCTCTCTTCATAGCTTTTGACACAGATACAATTTTCTATTTGCTATTGCTTAAAGATTGTCTGCCCACTAGGCTATAGACTCCATGAAGGAGGGGTTCTGTCTCCACATAGAGTAGGCTCTTAATAAATTCTTGTTGAATAAATCAGTCTGAATTCTACTTTCCACGTCATTTGTAAATGTAAGATCCAGGATTCTTCCTCATACTAATTTGCAGATATTAGTCTCAGTATTTTGAAAGGGATGTAAGATTTGGGCCATAAAATCTTCATAACAGGGAATTCTGCTTGGTTGCCCTATTTATCAACATTATACTTTTTGTGTGGATGTAAGGATTTATGCTTATTCCTATAAGAAGTTTTAACATAAGTCTTATTAAAATATTTTCTTCTGATCTCATTGACACTCAACTCTTCTTTCTACATCATATTTGTGGGTTACTCATACTAAGTCTAAGTATCTAACATCCTTGCGGGCCCATTATACTTTACCTTTCATGTTCATTTTCTTTAGTGTATATTCTTTCATTTAAATTTTGTTTTATTCTGATAGAGTATGCATAACAGAAAAGTTACCATTTTATGTATACATACATTCTTGTGCTGTTCATTACCCTATATATGTGAATTAACATTTTGTTTACAAGTTTTTATCTAACATTTTACCGTCTTTAGCATGTATCAAAATCTCTGTGGCATTCCCAGTTCATTGGCTATTACAGGAAATTTAACATGTCAAAACTGAGTATGTTCTCTTTCCCTCCAAATGGTTACCTCTCAGGTATGTTGAATGTCAAACAAGTTGTAACTTTGGAATCCTTTTCAATTTTTTTTCTTTTTATCTTTGTCCTTCCATTTGATCCCCAACACAAGGCAAGCATTAGGGTTTACAAATTATTTCTATTCTTGATTTCTTGGATTCATATCTGCATTTATATTTTCACAATAATCAGTTATACTTTTATGTCTAAATTCCTGTGGTAAATTTAGTTATTTCTCTTTTTAATATCTTTTTGCCTAATCTTGCCAATGTACTAAAATAATTTTTCTCAGACATTTTCATGATATTTCACTTTGTCAGGAGCCTATTATTGTTACCACTTGCTATTATCAAATTCTAAATTGTAGGCCTGGTCTTCAAGGGGATCCATTTGCACTACGGCAGCAGACAACACAGAAGACCAGGATCTCAGGGGCAGAGAAAACATTAATCTTACAACTCTTTAATCTTAGGAATGTTAATAATTTCTACTCTGAAACAGAGAATCTCTGATATATCTAGTTTAACCTCTGGTACATCTAGTGTAACCTACTTGTCACTTAACTAAACATGAGTTGTTTCTTTAACCTAATTTTGCATATATAACTATTCTTATTTGAGATACTGTCTGCAGTATTTCAGATTGATAGAAAGAGAACTCCTGCCAAAACACACACACACACACACACACACACACACACAGCCCATATTCTCTGGAGATTGGACTAAATCCCTAATTTTTAAATTAAGTTTCTCATAATATGGCAAAAAACATAATAATATGGCAATCTCTAAGCAACAGCAAATAGAAAATTGTATCTGTAACAACTGCCTCCTATCCTAAAAAAAAAAAAACAACACATTGTGTCAGAAATTATATGATGACACAGACTTGGAACAGATGTAGCACAGAATAATACTAATTTCCTCTTAGTACAGTTCCTGGTACATATGATATTCTAAGGAGCTACAGGAATTTTAAATTTGATTCTATACTTATTTCCATTTTAAGTTATAGTAGGTTTGAGAATATGAAATTTATTATGTCCATAAGTCTTCATTCCAACTATGTTCTCTAGTTCATGTAGGAAGTGATCTTTAAGATATACACAGTCACATACACACAAACCTATCTATGACACACATCTTTCCATTATACCTGCAAAACATTTAAAAGTTTCCCACATATTATCTCTTTGTCTCAGTACTTTTTATATTATTCTAAAAGAATCCTCAAGGCTAGACGATTTATGAAGAAAAATGTTTTGTTTAGCTCACAATTCTGATATCTGGAAAGTCTAAGATTGGGTGTCTGCATCTGTTGAGGGTCTCAGGCTGTTTCTACTCATGGCAGAAGGTGAAGGGAAGTCAGAATGTGCAGAAATCACATGGTGAGAAGAAAGCAAGAGGGAGAGGGGGCAGATTTCAGGCTCTTTTAAACAACCAGCTCTCAAGGGAACAAAGACTGAGAACTCATCCCTGAGGGAAGACATTAATCTATTCATGAGGAATCTGCCCCTGTGAAGGGAAAAAACATCCCAATCATAGCATTCTTCCCAAGTGCCCAAAACTCATGTCTTCACATGTAAGATATAACCATTCCTTTCCAATAGTCTCAAAAGTCTTAATTCATTTTAACATCCATTCAATAGTTCAAAGTCCAAAGTCTCATCTGAGACTCATGGTACGTTATTTCCAGCTGTAAGCCTATAAAACATAAAACAAGTTCTTTACTTCTAAGGTAACAATGGTTGTATAGGTGCTGGGTAAACATTTCCATTCCAGTATAAAAGCACAGCAAGTCCCTAGCAGCTTTAAAACATGGCAGAGTATATATTAAACCTTAAATCTCCAAAACAATCTTCTTTGTCTCCATGTCCTGCATCCTGGGAGCACTGGTGCAAGGGGTGGGCTCCCAAGGCCTTGGCAATCCTGTCCTCATGTTTTTGCTGCACACAGCCCATGTGGCTACTTTAATATGTTGGAGTTGAATGTATGAGGCTTTTCCAGGTTGCACACTGCTGGTGGCTCTGCCTATGTGGCAGGTTTCAGCCTGGGCACCTAGGCTTTTTGATAAGTTCTCTGAAATCCAGGGGACAGCTGCCAAGCCTCCATGGCTCTTGTGTTCTGGGTGCCTGCAGACTTAACACCATGTGGATGCCACCAAGGCTTATGGCTTGTGCCTTCTGGAGCAGCAACCCCAGTAGTAGCTGCGGCCATTTGAGCCATAGTAGGAGCTGGAGCTGTAGGGATGTAAGGAACAGCTTCCCAAAGGAGCACAGGGCAGTGGTCCCCTGGGCCTGTCCCCTAAAACTGTTCTGTTCTCCTAGGCTCCTGGGACTGTAATGGGATAGGTGGCCTCAAATATTTCTGAAATGCCTTTTTTCTATTGTCTTGACTGTTAGTACTTTGCCCCCTTACTGGTCATGCTAATCTCTTTAGCAAGTAGTTGCTTGTGTTTCTCCCTGAGAACACTCTTCTTTTCTACCACATGGCCAGGCTGCAAATTTTTCAGATGTTAATGCTCAGCTTCCCTTTTAATTATAAATTTTTCCTTTAGGTGATTCCACTGTGGACATAATTTAGTGTAAGCAGTTAAAAGTAACAATGTCACTTATTGAGGACTTTGCTGCTTAGAGTATTTTTCTGTCAGATACTCTAGGTCATCATTCTTAAGGTTAAACTTCCACAGTGCAGCCAAATTTTTGCTACAGTACACCGATGCAACCAGTTCTTTGCTATGGTACAACAATGGGGATCTTTGCTACAGTTCCCAGTAAGTTCCTAATTTCTGTCTGAGACCTCATCAGCATGACCTTTTCTGCATACATTTCGGTCAGTATTTTGGACACAACTACTTAACCAATCTCTAAAAAGTTCCAAACTTTCCCTTATCTTTTTATCTTCTTGTGAGCTCTCCAAAATCCTCCAACCTCTGTCCATCACTCATTTTAAAAGTGCTTCCACAATTTCAGGTATCTTTATAACAACACCCGCTCCTCAGTACTAATTTTCTGTCTTACTCTGTTTTGTGTTGCTATAAAGGAATACCTGAAGCTGGTTATTTATTTATTTATTTTTAAAAAGTTTATTTTGTTTACAAGATTGGGCGTCTGTACGTGGTGAGAACCTCAGCTGTATTCTCTCATGGTGAAAAGTGAAGGGGAGCTGAGCTGGTGTGTGCAGAGATTACCTGATGAAAGAAGAAATTAGAGAGAAGGAGGAGGCTCCAGGCTCTTTTTAACAACCAGTTGTCAAAGGAACAAAATGGGAGAACTCATTCATCTCCAAGACAGGATATTAATCAATTCATGAGGGATCTGCCGCCATAAGCCAAACACCTCTCATTAGGCTCCACCTCCAACACTGGGGACTAAATTTGAAGATAAGGTTTGGAGGGGACAAACATCCAAACCATAGCACTCCCATTGAAAAAAGTCAAAATTTACTTATATATTAATATTTATAAGGATACTAAAGAAATATTTACCATTGTATATAGGTAAAGTGCTTAGTTTATATAAGTTTTAATGAATTAACTAAGTCAACTTGTTAAATAATAGTTTCAGATTAATAGAATTCATTGTATCTATATTAGCAAAGCAGTGCCACTGTGGAATGTTGGAATTACGAGAAGTAAATTTTGAGTTTGAGTAAAATTTTACTAGCATTAATATTACATTTTAAACATTACTGTTATAAAAAGAGCATTTTTGTTCATACAATCCTTGTTTTATGATACTGAAAAAAACAAGTGAAATTTTTAGTAAATATTTAGAAACATTTTAGGGCTTTATAAAAATTATTTTTTATTTTATCTTTGTAAAATAACACTGATATATTGTCTTTATCTATTAGTTTTCCAATCTTTGAAAATCCATATCCCATGGACATTCATGAATCACCAGTTACATGTACAGCATACTTTGCTGATTGTCCTCCAGATTTGATTCTAGTACTGTATTCTATAGGAGTCAAGCATAAAAAACAAGGATACAGTAATAAGGTAAAAGTATAAATTATAAATAACTTTTCTTGTATTCATATCACATGGTTATACTTTTTCCCATTGCTTTATTTTCTGACATTCCATGTAGGAAGACTTGAACTAAATTCTTTTTAAGTTATAAGCCAACATCTATTAAAGACATAACTTCTTAAATTCAGATTTCCTAAATGCTACATAGCTTTAAGCCTATAGAAACATAAATTTCTTATACACTAGGTATATAATTATATACTAAAATTTACTTATCTATTATATATATTTATATACTAAGTATGTACTTTAATGTATATTTGAGTCATAAGATGTAACCTTTATTTTAGATGAAAGATTATGTTTTAAGAAAATAAAAAGACTCAGGTCTTCTTAGTTTATAATTAATGGTTTAGGACACATAATTATTAAAAGTCATTTGTTAAATAACATTTTAGAATTTTTGTTATAGTTAACTACAAGATTCAAATATTTACAATTGTAACAGATCATCTATTATGATTTCTGTTATTTTCCCAGGGCTGTTGGTGTGGACAACTTCGAAAGATGCTATTTACATAGATTCTATGTTAAATGGCACCACAGTAGTTTGGTGGTACACAGACTATATGACACAAGTAGCAACACTGTATTTGTACAATTAAAAGTAGTTCTTTGATTTGTTTATATAAATGTTAAGATTAGTTAAAATCTGTATTTTTAAGGGAGATGGAATTGTACATTTAGAGGTGTTTGTTCAATGAAAGAATTAAAAGACAGCTACACACTTCATTCTTGATTATTTTACAGTTATTTATGTTTAAGTGAACTTTTTATCATTTTAAGATATTTTCATTTTAAATTTCTAAGTCATTTAAACTAAAATCTAAGCAATTTGAACTATATATGCACCTATATATATATTCTTTCTGGATAATCTGTTTAGGAGTGGCCAATTAGTGGAGGAGCTTGGAACCTTGGAGCACAAACATATCCAGAAATTATTATTACTGGGTAAGTAGATGTGTTTTGTGAGTTATTAGTTCATCAACGAAAAGATGTTTACTGACTCTTGATACTTTTCCATAATTGTATTCTATGCAGAATAATAATTTAAGTAAAAGTAAAAACATAAGAAATAACAATCCAAAGATTCTAATCTTGACAGAAGATATAATCAAACCATTGGAAACATAATAACAAAAAAAGAAAGCATAGATTGTATTACCAGGAGAATGTCAAAGGGGGAAGTCATGAGATATTAGTCTTCATTGGAAATCACAGAATATTAGCTTTACAAAGGCGCTTACAAACATTTATCTATTTTGCCAAATTCAGGAATCACTGCTTTGTATCTGTACAAGATGGTTATTTTAAATATTCCTCAAAATTTACAGCACCAGAAATAACACTTCTTTGTATGATAACCCACTTGATATTTTAATATTAGGAACAAAAATAGGGACATAGCTAATTATAAGATTTCAAAGATAATAAGGGATCTGCTAATGGGAAAATAGAGTAAATATGCTTTTTCCTATTCTTCCCACTAAACAACTAAAAACTGGATATTATGTATAAGACAAACAAAAGATAACTGGGAAATGTGAAGTGTCAGACCAGGTAGAACTCCTATGTCTTAAAGAATAGCATGGAAGTCAGTTCCCTAACTTTTTTTTCTGCCTCATATATCCAAGAATTAGAGCTAAAGAAGTTAGTAACATAGAACTGGGTTGGGATGAAAAATCCCAACAAAATCTAGCTTTCTTTATCCATGGGATGAAGAAAGCGGCAGTGTATCAAGACAGAAAACATCTAGAAAATAATCTTTCTACTTGGGTTTGACAACACCACACACACACACACACTCTCACTCACACACACACACACACACACACCCCACATACCCCTTCCTCCCCCACACACAACTGTGGCCCCACCCCAACTCACTCCAGGAAAGGCCAAGTGAAGAGTTTAGACTTTCACCCTTATCAGGGTATAACTAGGTACCCCAACTTTCCCAGAGTGTCAGATAAAGCAGAGTAGGGAGCTGGGGCTTTGCACCATACTAGGTGAAACCCCTCCCCTGTGGTGTCAGTGGGGAGCCAGAATTCTCTCCAGTGCCCAGCAGTAATGAGTAGCTACCACTCCCCATCCCCTTTCCTGTCAACAGAAATAAATGAGGAAGGAGAGAAGAAAGAGGGTGGGACTGAAAAGTATTGAGGAAATAATGGCTGAAAACATCAAATTTAGCAAAACCACATGAACTTTCAGATTTCAGAAGCTGAGCAAACCCCAATAAATCTATACCAATATACATTATCATCAAACTTCTGAATAGTAAATACTAAAATAAAAAAATATTGAAAGCCACAATAGAGAAATGACATCTAACCTATACAGCCAAACCAATTTGAATGACAGCAGATTTTTCATCAGAAACCCTGCCTGCCAAAAGGAAAATGAATATTTTTGTAGTACTGAAAGAAAAGATCTATCAACCCTGAATCCTATAACCAATGAAAATATCCTTCAAGAATTAAGGCAAAATTAAGATCAAAATCCATCATTTTCAGATGAAATAAACTAAGAGAATTTGTCAACACCAAATCAACCCTTAAAAAGTGTATAAAGGAAGTTCCATACACAGAAAGGAAATGAAAAAAAGAAGGAACCTTGGTTCATCAATAAAGAAGAAATAATGCAGAAACAAAAGTATGGATCAATAAAATAGGCTTTTCATGTCTTGTATTTTTAAAAGTATATTTTATGGTTGAAGCAAAGATTATAGTAACAATGTCTGATGTTAGTATAATCACATTGTCTGGGATGGTTCTAAATGTATATAGAGGAAATATTTAAGACAATTATACATGGGAAAGGGTACAAAATTTAAAGAGTGTTAAGGCTTTTATATATTTCTTGAACTGGTAATAGGATGACACTGGTAGAATGTGATAAGTTGTGATACAATGTAATGCCTAAAAAAAAATTTTTTTAAATTATGCAGAGATACACTTAAAAACACTACTAACACATCAAAATGGAAGCACTATAATAATTCAAGTAACAGGAAGGCAAAAAAAGAGGAAACAGGAAAAAAAGCAGAAAAAATTTATGTGATATTCTGAATCCCTAACTATATGCTATCTGCAATACACTCACTTCAAATATAACAGCATAGATAATTTGAAAGTAAAAAGACAGAAAAAAATCTATGAAAAAGAATTAATGGAGAGTGACATCAACAAAGTGACAGAATAAGAAGCCCTAGATCTTGTTCTCCACAGACACTCACTTTACAACAACATATGGTACAAAAAGACATGACAACTTCAGAAACCATTTAGATAGTCACAGTACCCTAGACAAGGTCAAAACCAAGAATGTTCACATTGAAATGGATAAGAAAAGCAGTGGCAGCTGGGTGCAGTGGCTCATGCCTGTAATCCCAGCACTTTGGGAGGCTGAGGTGGGTGGATTACAAGTTCAGGAGATCGAGACCATACTGGCTAACATGGTAAAACCCCATCTCTACTAAAAATACAAAAACTTAGCCGGGCATGGTGTCATGTGCCTGTAGTACCAGCTACTTGGGAGGGTGAGGCAGAATTACTTGAGGCAAAAGTTGGAGGCAAATGTTGCAGTGAGCTGAGATCGCACCACTGCACTCCATCCTGGGTGACAGCAAGACTCTGTCTCAGGGGGGAAGAAAAAAAAAAAAAGCATTTCAACCATATCAGTCCTTTTTACAAGCTGGCACAGCTCACAATTAGCAGTAAAAGTGCAACTCATGGCTTCATTGTGGTGGAAAGAGAAGAGTGGAACATATAGCCAATGTTCTGGATTTACAGTGGCTGCTCAAGAGACCAGTCTCTGTATCATCTGATAGAGAACTGGCATACTCCACATACCTGAGTGCCACTGAGAGCAAAATATATTTCAGTGGCTTGTAGCATCAGAGAACCTAGTATTCCAGGCAGATACAAGAGGCAGTAAGATACTACAAGTTCCTAAAAAAGAAACTGGAAAGCTTCACTAGTTAAGAATTACATACACAAGCCCAGAGAAGACAAATTTGCATGAAAGTTTTGAGATGCTCTTAGAATCTCTACCTGGGCTGATTTATAAAGAATATCCTCTGTACAAAGTCAGTCCATAAGGATGTAGCTACTTTTTCATGTTAAATTCAACAAAAGTAAAGCATACAGAGAGACAGGGAAACATGGCCCAATAAAAGAGACCAAAAAAATAAAAAATCCAGTAACTGATTTTACATTTTCCCCATTTGCCCCAAGAATACTCACTGGCAGCACTTGCAGCTAGAACATTTATGCCAAGATAACTTTGCCTCAAAATATCTCACTTTTATTATTATTTTGCATCATTCTAGTATATTGACTTTGGAAACAAAAAACATTATTCTATTTATAGCATTCTGGTTTTAGTAGTGATATTTCCATTTACAAAATATAGTAATTCTCCATCACTGAAAATATCATGTCCTAAGAAACATAGTATTCCTATGTGTGATGTTAACATCATTTTTGTGCAGTTGTTGGCCAAGGAATCATTTGATGAATTTGATTTTTCTGAAATAGATTATTCTGATGTTAGTTTTGTTTAGAAATAACTCCAAGAACAGTGTTCACATTTTATTTTCTTATTGAAAACCAGCCAGATTTGCTTCATCTTCAAAAAGCATGTATACGTAAAATTAAAGGAGCACTAGAAGTGAGCTGCACTTTTTTAGTCTAAATGGGAAAAGGTTTAAAGAAACAGAAATCTGTGTGTTACCTAACAAAGAGTTCAAAATAATCATCTTTAAAAAACTCAGTATATTAAAGAATACAAATAGAAAACTAAATGAAATTAGGGAAATGATACATGAACAAAATGAGAGTATTGACAGAGTTCGAAATTATTAAAAAGAAACACTTCTAGATCTGAAGAATATAATATGATAATTGATTTGAAAAATTCATTAAAGAGTATCAGCAACAGACTTGGCCAAGCAGAAGAAAGAGTCCGTGAACTGGAAGGTAGGTCACTTGAAATTATTGAGTCAGAGGAACAAAAAAAAAAGAGAGTCTAAGAGCCTTACAAACACATTCAAGTGGACTGATGTATACATTATGTGAATTTAAGATGGGAGAGAGAGCGAGAGACAGAGAGACAGAGAGAGAGAGAGAGAGAGAGAGAGAGAATAAATAAGAATGAGAGGAGTGGAGAGCTTGCTTGAAGAAATAAGGGCCAAAAATTTCCTAAATTGGAGGAAAATGGAAATTAAAATCCAAGAAGCTTAAATAAGTTTAATAATATGAATCCAAAGAAGCTCATAGACACATTATAATCAAACCATCAAAAGTCAAAGACAAAAAGAAAATCTTGAAAGCATCAAGAAGAAAAGTTTTTATCACCTGCAAGGAAATCCCCATAAGACTGTCAGCAGGTTTTTTAGCTGAAGCATGGCAGACTAGAAGGGAGTGGGATGATACACTCAAAGTGCCAAAAGAAAAAAGAAAACAACTCACCAATCTAGAATAATATGTTTGGCATAATCAAATTCAAAAATGAAGGAGAAATAGAGACCTCACTATATAAACAAAAACTGAAGGAGTTCATCACCACTAGCCTTGTCTTACATGAATTGCTGAGGGTTCTTTCAGTTGAAACAAACACCAAAGCATACAAAAACTTAAAAGCTCTCTGTTAAAGTTAAGTTTATAGACAAAGTATAGAATATTGTAATACTGTAATGATGGTAGATAAATCACTTTGATTTCTGGCATATAATTTAAAATATAAAAACAAAATTACTGTAAAACTATAATGATAGATGCAAAATATGAAAACATGTAATTTGTGACAGTAACATAAAGAAAGGGTGAATGTAAAGGAGTAGATTTTTTTTCTATTCAGTTAAAGTTGTTATTAGTTTAAAATAGTGGTATAACTAGAAGATGTTTTATGTAATCCCAATGGTAAACACAAAGAAAACACCTATAAAAGGT